GACTCGCAAGTCATAACAACAAAAACATTTATCATACTCCAGGCAGTGTGCGCAGCTGCATTAATCGGCTATAGGAGCCTGGGGGGAGGGTGATGTGGTGGTTCAGGCACTACATCTCCGACGTGCTTGGTATAGGTGTAGCTCAAATTAGATTTATGATTCTTTGTTCTACTTTTCACATAAACTTTCAGAACACCTACCGAGTCTCGCGTACTCATTAACGTTATCAATAACAACACACACACACACTCACACACCTACACCAGCACAATCATTCCAATGGAGGCATACGAGATGGAAGGATGAAAAAGGGAGAGTATTGGATTGTGACAATGTTCATCCATAAATAGTGTTGCTATTAGTATCCAGACAATATAGTTTATGCTGATGGGAATATGGATTTATGATATAATATTATAAAAGTATGTCTATTGAAGAGGGAAAAGAAATCTATGGATGGATGTTTATGGGGGTTTCAGGCATGTGTGATTATACACGACGTTGACGACCATTGAGACTACTGTTTGCTTTGTCATGTTCCTTTAGCAAAGAAAACACCGATTCGATATGTTGGGCAGCTTGATTAATATAGCGTGCCTTGGTTTCATCGTAATTATTTGCATTGACACGTGCTGCAGGGCCATCGATTGATTGCATTGCTGCATGGAATCTATACGTGATGGTTAGCTAAACATGATTCGCGTTATCTAAAGGAGGTTACCTTGCTATGGCGCTATTCAGCTCAAGCTCCCTTGTGTTTTGTTGTGGAAGCGTGGCAACCGTGGTTTGGGATGATTGTCGCACAGGTTGGCTTGTCGTATGCTTTTGCTGAAAAGGCAAATTGAGTGCCTCGAGTCGATGGATCAAGAACATGTGCTTGCATATGCCTTTGCTCAATCGATAATCTGGACATGTGCAACTTTCTATCGTGCTTTGTTGTTCATCAATACGAAGAGTATACTGCTTTCGAGCATGGCTGAAAGACTTCACAAGAATTATGTTCGCCGTATGTTGGAGTATCAAATCGTCAGCTTCCTCCTCTGTCCACCAGCAAATCGAGGTAGGGTAAATTAAGTAGCGAGCAATCATGGATACTAAGAGCAAATACGTACCAGTAATAGCGTCAGCTTCTCTTTTTCGTGATTTTTCGGCCTTTGTCCAAGTACGCTTTTGTAATCCATTGGATATGCACACATGTGCCATCATCAAGTCTTCAAGTACAGCTGTCCAAAGCGCATATATGAGTACATCGAGTATAATGTCATGGATCAGGTCACAAGTACACGAGGTCCTTGTCGTCATATTCATGGTCTTCTTCTGGTCCAAACCAATCGGGTCCTTGTTCAAAAGTACATTTGTCATCCATATTTGCCACCATGAGGAAGTTTATGGGAACACCAGGTAGGAGTCTTGATAGTGCATCGGCTGGGTTTTGTTTTCCAGGATGATGTTTAACTTGAAAGTCATAGCCCATGAGCATAGCGGCCCATCTTTGAAGTTTCGATGGCTTTGAGCTGTTCAAGACGAAGGACACGGCAGAGCTGTCAGTACGAAGGATGAAAGATCTCCCAGCAAGGTAATGCCGAAACTTCTCGACAGCCCAACAAACCGCTAATGCTTCCTGATGTACTGCTGAGTAGCGAAGTCCTGCACCTCTCAGGATTCTTGATTCAAATGCGATCACCGTTTCCTTCTCTGAAGTTCCATCTGGCGATTGGGATAAGATGGCACCAACACCGATACCAGAAGCATCCGTAGTGAGGATTTGGACTTGCGAACGATCCGGAAAAGCCAAGATTGTGGGGTGAGTCATGATTGCCTTGACCTTGTCGAAAGCCTCTTGTTGAATATGGCTCCACTCAAACTTATTTTCCTTCTTCAATAGTGATGATACGGGTGCCAATATGTGTGCATATTGTGGGACAAAACGCCGATAATACCCGCTGAGGCCAAGGAAAGAGCGCACTTCTTCAACATTCCGTGGGGGTGGCATCGCCAAAATCTTTGCAACATTACGATCAGTTGGAGCGAGACCTTGATCAGACACCACATGTCCAAGATATTCCACCGATCTTTGTCCAAAGCTGCACTTGCTATATTTCAATCGTAAGTTTGCTTCATCACATGCTTCGAATACCAAACGTAAGTGCTCTTGATGCTCCTCCATTGATCTTGAATAGATAATAATGTCATCGATAAAACAATAGACAAAACGCCCGATGAATCTTTGAAGGATCGTATTCATGGTACGTTGGAAGGTCGATGGGGCGGAAGTAAGGCCGAAACTCATTACGTTCCATGTGAAAGTACCAAATGGACATACAAAACCAGAGCGTTCAGAAGCTTCTTTTGTCATTCGGATTTGCCAATATCCACTCGCCGCATCCAGAGTAGAGAATACACATGCACCACCCATGGAATCCAGAAGGTTATCGATTTGTGGAAGGGGATAAGCGTCCTTGATAGTACGTTCATTCAACTGGCGATAATCCACCACCAATCGTAATTGACCATCCTTCTTTTTGACAAAAAAGATTGGCGACGTCCATTGTCCATTCGAAGGTGAAATCAATCCAAGATCCAACAAGCGAGTGAGCTCCTCTTGCAAATACTTTTCCTCCTCCCACGTGAGTCGATATGGACGGGATCGGATAGGCTCCATGCATCGAACAGGTATGTCATTGTGATGTTTGCAATAAAAAGATCAAGAATAGAGAGTTCAGAAAATATCGTGAGAATCTGATGTCGGTTCTTTATTGTAAGAAGAGGTTCTTTTATATCATTCATATGTACATGGGTATCCATAGTTGCATTATTATATTGTACATGGGTGGTTATTCATGCATTATGCACACACCCCTATCCATCATCATCATCTTTACATCACCGACACCACATTACCCCCTTCCAGGCTGTTGCCGTATGGAATAAAGGTACAAGGTACAAGTTTAACGTCGATGCCTTTTTGAGGTACGAGTATTGTGTGGTGTTGGATTACGTCTTTTACGTGTACGAGAAGATGTGATGGTAGTAGTTGGTATGGTATCATGGGGTATGGATGGTTGTTCAATGCCAAGACGTTCCCAATAGGCGTTAATAACATTAGGACTTGTGAAATGTTGGTAAGGTTCCCAGGTATCCTCATCAGGTGGGTATCCCTTCCATCGTACTTTGTATAAATAATGCCCATCCTTTTGTTGTTTGTGTGCAACGATATGATCCACCTCATAGACTTGATCAGCAGGCAGTACTTCATCATGTGATATGAGTTTTAATTGTGAGGGCGGTACATCAATTGGTAATAGCTCGTCTTGTTCATCCTTCAATACGTATGAGCCTCCTTTGGTTTTCCTTACAACTGTATAAGGACCATCATACTCAGGATGTAATTTGCCCTTCTTTTGTAGCACACGCTTCATCACGTGGCTATTGATAGGAAACTCGATGAGCTGATGCTTTTTATCAAACTTGCCCTTCTGTTTGCTTGTGACATTATCGATCCTTTCTTTGATAGCAGGAAAGATGATATTAGACATGTCATCAATGCGTTGCAACAAGTCATTACGTTGCATGGGAGATAGATCTTGATCATCGCGATAGTCTTTGAAGTCATTAAGTTTACGGGCAAACATTAAAGAGAATGGTGCAGTATTGAGCCGTGTGCTTATCTTGGCATTGAATGCCAATTGTACCGCTGGTACATAGATATCCCAGTCTTTGTGCACACCTTGTACTCGTTTCTTTATGGCTCGCACCGATGTTTGCACCCATCTTTCAGCTACACCATTTGCCCTTGGATGGTACGGTGTAACCAAGCGATGATCGAAGCCTGCTGCTCTTTTAAATTGTCTCATCAAGTCATTCACGAATTCAGTTCCATTGTCTGACTGAAGTATACGTGGCAACCCAAAATCACAAAAGATTTGTATAAGGTTGTTGACTATGGTGTGTGATTGTTTATCGGGGATTGCCCGTAAAATGCAATATCGTGTACATACATCCACTAGCACCAACAAGTAGTTGTTGCCTTTTGACGTGGTTGTCATTGGACCTGCTAGGTCCAAGGCCCAGTGGTCACCTGGTACATATGATCTTATGGGTCTTAATGGATTATAGCCATTCTTAGCAATGTTGAATTTTTGACATTCTTTACATGAGCTTACAAGCTCAACTGCTTGATCTTTCATAGATGGCCAATGTAAACCATTATTGTGTATGGCACGTACAATGGCATCAGCGCCAAAGTGTCCAAATAAATGTGCATTTTCAAGTATACTTTTACGCTCCGAGATTGGAGGTTGTAACATGTCAAGCAAGTCGACAGCTCGCATTAAGAGCGGCTTGTTGACTGCCTTATCTACATTGTTGATATGGTATAGCGCTTTACCCCCTTCCAGCGTTTGATCCAGAGGTGAAAACAAACGCGACAAGTGATCAGGAAGGATGTTGGCAATGCCAGGTAGGTAAACGACGGTAAATTGATAGTCAAGCAAGGTGTCCAACCATTTAATCATCATAGGATTTGGATCCTTTTGTGTATGTAGATACATGAGGGCCTTGTGGTCCGTGTATAGTGTAAAAGGTGCACCCCATAAAAACTTATGGAACTTTTTAAAGGCAAAGATGATTGCCAATAACTCCCGCTTAGTCACGGAGTAATTTCTTTCTGATTTACTTAAAGCTCGGGCCATAAAGCCAACGATATTGTTTTTTCCATGATGCTTTTGATACAACACTGCTCCTATGCCATCATTTGAGGCATCGGTAGCGAGGTGAAATGGAAGCCGTAAGTCAACATGTCGTAGCATGGGCGCATGAGACACGGCGTACTTGATATTATAAAAGGCTTTATCATGCTGGGAAGTCCAAACCTTACTAAGGTCACCAGCATGCCTCAACTTATCCAAACTGGAAGTTAAGCGAGCCACGTTAGGGATGTGATCCCGAAAATAGTTCACGATTCCCAAAAAACGTTGTACGTCTTTACCACTACGTGGTGTAGGCCATTCTAACACATTAGTGACCTTCCTAGAGTCAAGCTGGATGCCTTCGGCAGAGACCCGAAAACCGAGAAGATAAACAACTCGTTGAGCAAAATGACATTTACTTGCATTTAGCAAGAGATGGGCATTAGTTAGCCGATTCAAAACAGTACAAACATGCTGTGCATGCTGATTAAGATTTGTAGAGTATACCACGATGTCATCCACAAATGTGGTTACAAAGGGCAGATCATCAAACAAGATTTGCATGACGCGTTGGAACTTTGCAGATATGGGCTTAAGTCCAAAAGGACAGCCAACGAACATGTATTGTTTGCCGTTTACCGCAGTAAAGGTCGTTTTGTGTTGGTCTTTATCATGTATTTTAAAGCGATGAAAGGCACTTTTAAGGTCCAAGGTACTGAAAACCGAGGCACCGGCCAATTGTTCAAAGATTGAGCGAATGAGTGGAAGAGGATGCCTATCATCAGGCAGATGCTGATTGATGTGGCGTGGGTCTAAGCACAGCCGTACACCAACCTTCTTTCCAGACATGTCCTTTTTAGGAGCAAATGTGAGTGGGCTATTCCACCTATTATCAATGTTGGCAGGCACTTCTTTGATTATGCCTTCATTCAACCATTCATTCACTGTATCATCAACGATAGCACGTCGTGTTATAGGAAATTCATATTGGCGCCTGTAGCAGGCCACACCTTCAGGTGTGTTTAATTCAATAATAGATTGAGGAATGTTGCAAAAGGTCCCTTTTGGGATTTTAGCGTTGGCATCTAAGGAAGGATTGATAACTTGTATGAAAGCATTCATTGCTTTTTGATCACCAGCTGGGGCTGCATCTGGCTTATAAGGTGCGTCATCAATTTCCACCTCTTCTTGCTTGGAAGGAGTGGTCCAAGATGTTGCTAACCCAACGTAGCCAATTCCCAACAAAGCCATCATGTCCATACCAATTGCCATAGGATGATTGCGTGCCAACCTCATTACTTCAAAAGCTTGATAATGTGTTTTACCATTGTAAGAAACCTCTAAAGTGTCTGTACGACCAATGCGTGGCACTGTAGTACCATTTGAGCCAAGAGTGATGGTGCCATTTACCATGTGATACTTTATTTGTGCATTGTTTACAAAATCCAAATCTAAAGCTGTGAATGTGGCTCCTGTGTCCACCAATGCTTTGATCTTATGTTTCTGTATTGTGATGGGTGTTAATACCTCATCGATGTAATCATGTTTGGATTTCTTCAACTTACATGGCAAGGTAGTATCCACTACTTCATCACCATCATTCAAGCGTGCAGCACGCTGCACCATGTTCTTTTGATTATGGCTCTTTTTGCCATTCTTTTCATAGTACTCATCGCAACGATGGCCAGGTTTCCATTGCCTGTGGCAGTAATCGCAACGCTTGGTCCTAGGCTTGTCATCGGATTTCGATTTGAATCGTTTTTGCAGGTTGCCATGGTCACGATCCGCTTCACGTTTTTCACCAATCTCAGCCATTTTCATGGCAGCAACGATTTGACATACTTCTTCTAAATCATCTGGCATGTCCGAGCCGTAACGATTCACGATGGCCAACAATGCTTGTTCTGCATACTTTGGTTGCAACGATGAAAGGAAAATAATGTTCAGCAATAAGCCAGGTGGCATGTCAGCTTCCAAGCTGAGTTGCTGAAACTTGACCACATATGAGTTGAGCGGCTCGTTAGCACCTTGTTGCATTCGCACCACCCTTCTCATGGCCTTGTAACGCTGCACATGCGTATCATACTTTGTAATAATTTGGGTTGAGATGGCTTTCCAAGTAATTGGTTGCTCCATGGATGCCATTTGGTCCTTCAACCAAAGGTATTGCGGATCATTCATTGCTCTCGACAACAAACGTTCCCAATGCTTTTCAATTGGCAAGCCGTGAGCAGACAGCTCTCGTTCAAATGCGCGCACGAATGCTGCAGCCGAGTTATGGACAACCTTTTGGGGGTTCCATTTGTAGCCTCCAGCAATCTGTAGCACAGGTAGGTCCTTTGGTACAACATGTTGTTGCGCCTTCTCACGTGCTTCGCGTCTTTCTTTCTCTTGTTCAGCTTCCTCCAAGGATAAAAACTCCAAACGCTGTGGATGCTGCTTGCGCCAGAGCTTTTTAGAGTTTTCCAAATTGTCTTGGGCTTCCTTAAGCTCTAGCATCTTGCGCTTCTTTTCAAGTGGTTCAATATCATCGCAGAGAGCTACATCATTGTAGACTTGCTCACGCTGCTCAACTTCTTCCACCATCTTCTTATAGGCTTCCAAGGCCTTGCGCATTCTAGGATCGGAAGGTTTTTGCTTTTGGACATGGTTACCAGTAGGAGTTTCCTTTGGTGACTTATCCACGTCCATTGGAGCAGGCGAAGTAGGCTTGTTAGACGACATAGTGAAAATTCACAGTAAAAAATGTGATGTTTGCAATAAAAAGATCAAGAATAGAGAGTTCAGAAAATACTGTGAGAATCTGATGTCGGTTCTTTATTGTAAGAAGAGGTTCTTTTATATCATTCATATGTACATGGGTATCCATAGTTGCATTATTATATTGTACATGGGTGGTTATTCATGCATTATGCACACACCCCTATCCATCATCATCATCTTTACATCACCGACACCACAGTCATGCTCCACACCAATTCGTACACAGCCCAACCCACTCACTTCCACAAAGCAATGTGCATAATGTTGCAGGAGGTCTTGCAGCTCATCAGGCACCACTTCTTCATCCGCCGAAGTATTGTCATCGAAATCCTCTTGGTATGGTGTTGGTACTAAAATGCGCCATCCTGCTTGCAGTACCCGAAAACAAGTTGTGCATTGGATCGACAATGTTGCATCGAATGGGGTTGAAGTACTTGAGCTTCCATAGCTCTGAAAAACGCACACCTAGCATTGACAAACAATCCTTACGAGCGGTCAAAGTATCAAGGTATTCCCATTGAAGAGCATGGCGCCGTTGTTGATCATAGTTTCTTGGTCGCCAAGTATCAGTATCAAAGTTTGACCAATCGCGTTGAGTTGGGAGATCTGTTCTTGCTGGCCAAATGTTGTCACATTTATGGCATCCTTTCTTGGCTCCAACACCAGCAAAACCACACACCTTGCGACCAGCTGGTATGTCACATGCAACCATGAACAAAGCAGCTCGAACATTGACCTTCTCACCAGAGGCTAATGTCATATCTTCCCCCCGATAGTAAAGTTTCTGGAGCTCCTTGACGATCGGGGCCAAGTAATGATTCATTTGAGCACCTTGGGGTTCTCTTGGACCTGGGATGACACCGGCAAGGATGACATTCTCTTTCTTGTGACGTATCGAGCGAGGGAGGTTGTTGATGGTGAAGTAGATGACACCATCTGAATACGGTTGCTTTTGATCGAAGGCTTGGAACCAGTCGACGTTCATTGTCAGCATCAAGGCGTATTTGAGGTCAACAAACTTTCGACGGATGCAGTGACCATCCTTATCCATGATCTTGATTTCCAATTCGTTCCACATGGCACCATCGTAGACGTCATGCATTATACCTGGGGTTCTCCTGCGTGCTTTCCAGTGCTCCACCAATCTGTCATAACCAGGTCTTGCCATAATGGACTTCAAGCTGCTGATAATTGGATGGTACGCATACACCTTTGGTGGGACGAGTCGACCACGCACATTGTAATACAATGGATTTCCACACGGCATTCGGTAAGAACCATTACGGTGATTGGCATATTCGACATGTGTGCATAACAAGGCGCTTGTGTCATCATCAGGGTAGATGCAATGGCATTCGGAGCAAGTGACATACGCCTTTCCTTCATGCATGAATTCTTCAAGACCCGCTCGATTACGCAAGGTTTTCATTGTAGTGGGCAATTGGCAGCTTGCAGAGACGAACTTGACAAACAATGCATTGAGGATGGCCAGCAATATCTCAGCACCTTCCCTTGACAAGAAACGATCACAAAACACCACCAGATACACGTAAAGCACAGTAGAAATAGGACCTTGGGATGTATCTTGCTGAGATGTGGCTGCAAAATGTTGGTAAGTCATCTTGGTATCTCGTTTGTGATCTACAACTTACATGTCATGTCATGATCATCCTCAGCTACAACATCGAAAGGAAGGTCTTGCACAGCAATTTCTGGTGTAAGGTCCCCGTTGGTATTCCTTTCATCAGAGGGCTTATCATCAGGTAAAGCATCAACGTTGCTGTCATCGTCGGCATCACAGTAATACGAAGCATTTCTTGCACTTCTTTGAACGACCAATGCTGATCCACCAGTTACTTGCTCTTCCGATACTATGGATACAAAGGAAGTATATGGGTTAGGTTACGGTTGGCATCTTATTGTCTAATTACTAACCGCGTATTTTAACGAGATCCGATTTAGGGACCGGGAGAGGCGTCGTTTTCGAGAGATTTTCTATTATCGTTGTCAGTAAGGAACAAGTGTATGGCTTGATGTCATGGTAGGTTACCTGTACGTGGATGTATCAAGTGATGGTTGGTAATAGTACGATGTTTTTGCCAGGTAAAGCGGTGCTCGGTATGGTAGCACTGTTCACATTCGCATTTCTCGAGTGGCTCGGTGGACTTGGAAGATGAAGAAGATTGACGAGACGATGGATTCATGATAAAACGACAATACAGCGATGGCAACTTTTTGGTCAAGATTGATGTTGTCTTATATACTCCTTTGCGCATTGACAGCATTACTATATATGACATGGCGTCATGGCATCGGCCTCGTTCCCAATATGGTACCAATCGGATCGGCGATAATATCAGCGGTGTGGAAGACGCGTTTGGCATGGACATCGTCATATCGGCTGCCATCAAACATACGCCAAGAAGTTCGGAAGATTGAGTAAGTGAGAAGCATGTGAAGTATCAATGATTGAGGTAAACAAAGATGAAAATAGCAAATAAAGCAAAGGAACAAAAA